TCTCCGGTCCCGACAACTCTCTTATATCCGGGTGACACTGTACATCTAAAATAAGTCCATTACGTCTTTAGAAATTGCTTTGTTTACGTTTTGTATATGAAAGAGAGTAGATATGAGATCAGCAAAATAATAGGACTGAAGAGGGTGTGCTTTCTTTTAAAAGGGAAAACAGATCCTTGCTTAGTGTAACGTTCTTCGTAGACGAGCACTAAAGCACGTTGGATCAAATGGCGGTTTCACCTACAAAAGAGAACGCAAGTTAGATTATTGTCGGAGAACACATTTTCATTACGAATATTCCTCAAAAAGCGCAGCCCGATAGACATTATACACACTGTGTGATAAATAAAAATGGGGCGTTTATTTCAAATACGAAGTGTTCACTATAATAACGTTTGAAGTAATATCAGATTAAAAATACATCCATTAATTCTTTAGAAAAAAATATATATGCATGATAAAAATAGACTTTTAAGGTATGCTATATTTATAGCTGAAAAAATGCTCAATATCAGAGACAGAGCGTATGTAAATATAAATGTGGACACTGGGGTCAACGCAAATGGCGACAGTCCTGTTTCAGCGTTGACGTTGGCCTCAGTGTCCACTTTTATATTTACACACGCTCTGTCCCTGATATTGAGCCATAAATATAGCATACTTTAAAACTATATTTCTATCATACATATATATATATATATATATATATATATATATATATATATATATATATATAACAGACGACATGCGTTGAACGGAATCAGTTAATTTATAATATTTATGGTCTGAAATTTACACTGAGCACTGTTTTGTAAAAATAAAAATATCTATAAGAACACCGGATTATATATCTTACTGTTCTTTCTTTTTTACTATATATATATATATATATATATATATATATATATATATATATAAAAGTTTCAAATTAAAAATTATAATGTTTTATTTTATGAAAGTATTTATTTATTTATATATATATTTGATATTTCAAATTGTCCTCAATTTTTCATCAGAAATAACTGTTTGTTACAAATAAATTAAAATTACTGTTTGTTGGCAAGTAGCGTCCTTCGAGAGACGCGGACGTCACGGTGATATGGAACGTCACTGTTCAGATATTCCTAACTTAAATCTAACTGTCATAAATATTTTAAAAAAATTTTTTTTTATATCTAAAGAAATTGCTTAGCTATTGAAATATTTATAAAGATTTAAAACACCTAAGTCCCTATTCAACCCTAATTTATGTGTATTTAATTTTTAAAATCAATATGTTTCTTTTTTTTTTCGCATGTGAATGTTTTTAGTAAAATCGGCTAAAAAAAAAGCTAATAAATAATAATAATAAATAATAAATAAAAAGCTAAGCAATTTCTTTAGATATAGTAAAAAAATATTTTTTAAAAATATTTATGACAGTTAGATTTAAGTTATTATTTATCTGAACAGTGACGTTCCATATCACGTGACGATATATCTCTCGAAGGACGCTATTTTTGCCAACAAACAGTAATTTTAATTTATTTGTAACAAACAGTTATTTCTGATGAAAATTGAGGACAATTTGAAATATCAAATATATATATAAATAAGGACACACATAAATACTTTCATAAAATAAAACATTATTGGATTTTTAATTTGAAACTTTTTAGGGGTCTATATATACATATTTATAAATATACAATTCTCATTATACTATATATATATATATATATATATATATATATAATATTTATGACAGTTAGAATTTGGTTGGAATATCTACAATTTCTGTCTATCCAGAATGTTTTATTAACGCTTTCAAATTTCAGAATTAGCTGTTCATTTTATTTTTAACAAACACTTTTTCTGATGTTGCTATTGAGGACATTATAAAAGGAAATTCGTGTTTTGTTTATGTTCATGTAACTATTATGTGCTAATTCTGGAGTTGCTAGAATCAATTTCAAGTCACTAAAGGTGTCGTCTTTTATATCAAACTGAATTTTTACATGTATTTTATTTGGGTATTAAGAAACAGGAAATTTCGTTCGAATTACAGAAGAAAATACTGAACCGTTACGTAATATTAGTGCTCCTTTATGGCAGTGAATATAAGATAATCTCCTTACAAGAAGAGACTTGAAGCAACAGAAGGATGCTGAGAATACCATAAACCGAACATGTGATCAACGATGAAATCTTAGAAAAAAAAACGAAAAAGAAACTTATACTTAACATCAGGAAGAGACAGTTGACATTTCTAGGGTCATAATTTGGAAAGATTTTTTGTGTTGTGTTTGATTTTTTTTTATGATTTTTTGCAAGAGAGAATGTTTTTTTTTGTTTGGATTAACCTAATGGAGAATTGTTTTGAGTAAATGGATAGTGAAACATGATTTAGGAAATATAACAAAAAGGTAAAATTTATTAAGAGGTACAAGAAATTGTGAAAACCCATGATTGCCAACCTTCTTTCTGAAGGACACGGTACATAGAAGAAGAAATTTACGGCTTATAAACAACAACTAATTTTGAAATTTGAAAAGTGAATAAAATGGATAGACAGAATTAGTCGATATTATTCAAAGCAATCATGTTTTTTAAAAATATTTTTTGATATATATATATATATATATATATATATATATATATATCAGGCGAGATATAGCGACCTCTCACTGCTCTATCGCTATTTTCGGACGAACTACTTTCTTGCTTCCGCCATGTCTAACCTTCACCGCTAGGATCCGCCATGCCACTTGTAGCAACTCACCCACATTCCCTCCGTATTTCATCGACGGGAATTAAGTTCCACTCGAACAGCTTCTTTTCACGAACCACTGCTCTGTAGAACAGACTCCCAACAGGATCACTACAATATTAACCTGTTCAAGTCTAGAATCAACTGTTATTTCCCCTTCTATCCATATAAACTACCCCTTAACGTAACCCTCTACCTCGAGTGACTCCCGGGCCTTGTATAGGGTGAAGCTTACTGTAAAAAAATGACTGTCGAAAAGAAAATAGGCGGTGTAAATCCTTTTAATCGGCCAGCATTTCGATCAACCCTTAGCGAAGAAGTCGTCGATAAATATTAAACAATAAATGAAATTGCCAATAAAAAATGCGAGTTGATGATTAAATATTATATCCACCTACGGTAGAATGTGTAGTCACATAAACTGCGTCTCTCCAGAGTTCGTGTGTTATTGACTGGTTCGGTTCAGGGGGTCATGATTAAGCCCTGGTCAACCGTACACATTATAATGCCACTTTTTATGTTTCTCTTGGTCCTCCCTACTTCTTGAACCAGTTATCATTCCTTCTCGAGATATTTTTGAAAAATCTTTTATTATTACGTTTGATTTGACCATATAATATTAGTGTCCTGGGTTTAACGAATGGAAAGGATTCATTCTTTGATTGATTTAGGTTTTTATTTATCAGTGTATTCAAAGCGAGAAAATATGCTTGGAATATTTTTTATGACGATAATAATGCCTTCCGGATACAAATCCTACTAAGCCATAGCTGGAAGAGATGTGAATACATACCTTTTCGAGTTCATCCAGTAGTTTTCTCGGTGAGTTTAAATACTTATATAGTGATTTTGTAAGCGTAGCTTAGATGTGGCGTAAAGTCGAAAGTATAGAGCATCGAGTTATGATCGAACTCACTCGTATTTGATCTAGTGAGTCAATTTTCCGATCCATTACACTACGGTGAAGTTAATGTATCTACGGCATTCTGTCTTTCATGGTTTGAATTGTTTATAGCTGCATAGCCTAAGTTTGAGAAAAGATACCCTCCAATGGAAAGGTTTGATTTGCAAGCTATAAAAACACAAAAAAGACATGTAAACAGAACTTTGAAAACGTTTTAACTCGATTGTATTGGTAATTTCGTTTTTATTTCAAATTTATCAAGGATCCCATTAGCTAAAATCAGATCCTAAAAATCGATGCTGTAAACGAATGACACTATATTATTTCTTTTTCGATATTAATTTTCAACGTCCCTGATTCTTCATGCAAATTAATTATTGTAATTATAATTAATTGCTACATTCATAGTCGAAATTTTATCATTTTTTAGCAAATATATTTTAGTATTTTGTTCTCATTCTGTATGGTGTCTATGAAAAAAATCAGGAAAAAAAAGGATTGCCATTGATCTAGTGAGTCTTGCATTATTTAATGCAGACATTAAATAATGACATTTTTTAGACAGTTACATAATGCAAGCTTTACTGTCTAAATCGGATAAATGAATTTTTAATCAAATTTTGTGTCAATCAATGAATTTTTTTTAATGGTTCTTTTTTACAACTTTGCGAATTATCTAAAGCCGAAAAATATTCTGGGTTGTTAGTATGATTTTTTTTTATATCACATTAACAATTTTTTTTAAATAATGAGTTTTTTTAGATATGAATCCTAGTATTTAAAGCATAGCTTGGGGAAAGAGAGGGATTCTTTCCCAAGGATATTTGCCCGTAATTGAATGTAACTAAACCGACTGGAATTTCGAACTCGGCTCTCTGATTTCTAATTCCGAGCCACTATCCATTATACCACCTGCTCATCAATGGAGAACACACTAACTAGGACGTTTGAAACTGTTTTGCTAATTATTGCTTGACGGTAGAATGCGTAAGTGCGAATGTTAACGCCAATCCTTGAAAATTATTTATGTATTACAAAAAAATAAGTAACTATGTTCACTAATTTATTTATTTATATTGACAGGAAGTGACACTCCAAAGTGTGTGCAATATTTTCGTGAAAAAATTTACCAAAAGAAAGATCATCGTTGTCATCATCTTCACATTAGCGACTAGCCTCTTTATTTGGCTGTTAGACGATACTGAGCGGGAAAAGTTCAGATTACGATTTGTCAGGTACGCGACACCAGTGTTCATAGTGAACCATCGTTTTGAAAAATCCATGGAGCAGAAAATTTACGAAAGGTCAAACAATTCTAAACCTGGAGTGGTTGACGATATCTTGGCAATGGTAATAAACTTCTTCATTCTTAAGTGACTGAAATATCACATTCTGTTTTCTGTTTTATATATATATATATATATATATATATATATATATATATATTTATGCATTTATGCTAACTCCTGCGGTGGGCTCTTGATTGGGCCTTCATTACAATAGGTAGGAAGGAGTAGATGCGACTGGCAACAATAAACTGCAGAAGAACTCAAAATAGATCATGGCATTAAAATATTGCATTAATATGCGTAAAAAAATCATTGAAAACAATCTCAGTAATAAAAACTTGGGTATCCAAAATTTCAGCATTGTGGGTCCGGATCTGTCTCTTTAATTTGCTCAAGAAATCGGTCTGATATGTTAGGCTACAGCCTCTAAGAGTAAAGTTGAAAACACGGACAATTTTATTTTGAAACACTGTAATTTGAGAACAGTATTTTTTTTCATTTAAACATGAGCTATTGAAAGTTAGAGAGTTGTGTCCCTTTCACTGTTTTTATCAGAAGAAGCCAAGTTTCGGTCTGAATTTCTGTCTAAATCAGAGTTTCGACCAAAATAAGAATTTCAGCCCAGATCGGACTTTTGACCGGAATTAAACTTATGCCCGAATCAGAGTTAAAGTAAGGTTTTGAAGTTCCATGGAGTGAATTGAGGTATTCAGAGTTATTTATTCAAAATTATCATTGCTGTTTTCTAAGCTAGATCAGAGGTCCCGTTAATTTTGGGCCGGAGGCCCGATTAGTCGTCCGCAGGAGATAGCTTAAAAGACCTGCTGCTTTTAAGCTAGTTAATATTTTGAACTTAGTTTCACCATTCGATCTGATTTAAAACTTGTTTTACCGGATTAAACACCTTACTTATCAATCAACTCTCCTACTTACATTAATAAGACGTTTCGATACGTAAACTCGAATATATATTTTTTTTATAAGGCCTATGAATTCTGCGGCAAAAGATTTCTTACATCCAAATTAAATAACAGTATTGTACAATATTTTTTGTTCGCTGATTATATTTTATTGTTGCACAAAATAAACAATGTTTTCTTGTTTCAGAAACCACCGCCATATCTACCCGATTTTAAGAATCCATGTTGGTATGAGAAAACGAGTGGAGCCTCATTACGAAAACGCTGCTTACCCTATTTCTACTTGATTGGAGTAGACAAATGCGGTACAACTGATTTGTTCACCCGTATGCTACAACATCCTCAGATCCTTCATACAAACGCCGTCAACAGTAAAGAAACACATTGGTGGTCATGGAGACGATTTGGTAATAAGATTTAATCAGTAGATATAATCAGAAGACTATCATGATAGGACTATATTTAGATCACGAGTGAAATAAAGGTGAAGGAATAGATTAAGAAAACAGGCGCATTTAAATATTCTTTTATGTGACATGTCCTTTCAGGATGTGAACGACAATATGCGAATTTTCATATCCTTTTCGGCAAAAAAAGAATGAAATCAATAGTCGAAACAACTCTTAGATATCTGTTCAGTATTGTCCTCATCAGCCATCAGCGAGCCAGTACCAAAAGTGGAACAAAAACAACAAAGATATTCTAGTATAATCCGCATATATATATATAGTGGTCATAGAAATGCTGGTAGACCTTGGCTCAGGTATAAAGATAAACTGAAGAGCAACCTTTTTGCGTCAACATTCCATTCAAGAACTTTGGAGAGGTAGCTATGAAGAGATCAGAGTATCGTTCTCGCTGCCATTCAGGAATAATGCGCCATGAAGAAGTAAGCATCAGTCGACTGCAAGAAACACGAAACCAAAATAAGACAGCTAACTGTTCCTGCTACACTTGGATACAATACATTCTCCTATAATGTTTGTGGTCTTTTGTGCAATTCTCGAGCCGGTTTCAAAAGTCATGCCCGTCATTGGCATGCAGACAATTAGTTCAGGGTCATCGGAAACTCATACATCGAACTTGATGGTAGAGTTCATAATACATATATATACATATATATATATATATATATATATATATATATATATATATATATATATATATATATATATATTTTAGTTGGATAGATGTGAGTTTGTGGCCCTGGGTTTCACGCTTTAGCGATCGTCATTTATTTATATTTATATACACTTTTCACATATATATATATATATATTTCCAAGAGTATAGAATCCAGGTAGAGCTCAATGTCCAAGAGAGATTTATGAATATAATATAAGGTCTGATGAATTGGATCGTTATTACGATTCCAATATAATAAATTATAACCATGGAATATTAGTGTTTGAGCCATTTGTATTATATATATATATATATATATATATATATATATATATATATTTAAAATTCTATATTCATATATAATTATGGATGACTGTAAGCGCTACAAGGTTCGATCTGTACAAGTATACTGTACTGTTTTTGTTTCTCCTCTTTTAAAATAGCCAAGATGAATGGGATTAAAACGAGGCTAACCAAAACCGCGCAAAATGTTATCAAGTGTACAAATGTAAATGCACTTCTGCGCGGGCGACTGAGAGCAAACTCTTACGATCGCTGCCAAAAAGGATTAACGCGGCTTTAAACGGGATTTTTAGGAAGTTGTAGTTGGAGACTAAACAGAATTACAGTGACAATCTCTAAGATTAAATCTATAAAGATAATGTTCCGATGTACAAAAGCAAGAAATTTGTACAGAGTCATGTTTGCTCACATCCTGAAAAGACACGTCATATACAAGAGGGAATGTCTATGCAAATTTATATGAGTTACAATAATGGGTTTTCGTGAGTTCCCGTTTATTTTTCACTTTTACTATTTGCCATAAAGTTAATAGTGCTTATAATATTTTATAAGAAAAGTTTGACATTTACAATTTCATTCACAAAAAAATAAAGATAATAGGTCACATGATGTATTAAACATCACCCACATTTTTCTGTTAATGGATTTTATTAGATAATAAAATAGACAGAAAGGGAACAAACCTAGATTGACAGAATGCGAACAGACAGTGATAGACAGAATGAGAACGGTTCGAGATAGACAGAATATGGACGGGCCGAGACAGAATACGAACGGTGCCGAGAGAGACCGAATGTGAACGGTGCCGAGATAGACAGAATGCGAACAGTCCATGATAGATTCACGCGGACCCATTAAAAGTGCGTGTCTGTGTGTGCATGTGTGTGTATACATTATTCTTAAACTCATCAGGTTTGTTGGCTCCTATAATGAAAGGCCAAAACAATTTTTTACAGCCCCAGTTAAATCTAGACACACTGAAATCAATAAAAATTTATTTCATTACACTATAATAATGCCCGATAACAAAATAAATAAATATTACTAGATGCTCTCCAGAAACAAGAAACTGGACTGATCTTGACATCGATCTGCAAATGAATTTGACCAGTGAACAGATAGTGTACATGTACATATTGCCAACTAAAACAAAATGAAAGTGTGAAGTGCTGACAGTTCTTTATCATGTCTAATTACTCCATAACAATACGTAGACCTCTGATATTTTAACAATGATATGAGAGTACTCACTAACTTTTGTCTTAGGTATACACTTAACTTAGCCCCATTAAAACGTATTCCAAATTCTTTTGTGCTTGTCAAGCTCGTTTGTACATTTATAAATGGATAAAATCGAATGTCTTTTTAAACCCACTCACAAAGACAGTTCAACAGAGAAAATATGGCATTGTTCTATTCATTAAAACTGGTTGCCAAAAATCCTTTTGGCCAGCGGCATCGATTATTTTGAGAGATTTTTTTAATCAAGGAATCATGCGACTACGAGAAACATCAACCCTTTTAGTGAGCCAAATTGACAAGAAAGTCATTTCTACAGGGTTCCCAGTAAAAAGCGGTTAATTTATTATCACTGTTTATCTTTCAGGAATAACTGACCTTGAATAACCTTGAATATATATCTTGAATATTCATGACCTTGCGTAATTACATAAACTCTTGTTTTTTTTTATGATTGATTTATTGTTGCTCGGTCTTGTGTGACTCGTCATTTAAAGTTTATTTTCAGACAACTTTCGTCATTCGTTCTGCCCTTCCCGTATGGCTAAACAGTTCCCTGATTTTGTGCATCAAGTTATCGTACTTTTCAAAGATCATTCGACGTGAAGATTGACGAAATGTGCAGAAATTCTTCCTGAATTTTTCAGTCACATCAGTCGTCACCAGTTTTCAACGGTTGTCTCACATATTTGTGAATTACCGCTTTTTTACTGGGCACCCTGTACTTACTTTTTTTGTCTTTTTTGTTAAGGTTCCATTTTAATTCATCAACATTCTTATTGTGTTATTATATTCTTATTTAATTCTTATGGTTATATTCAATTATTCTATTGCCCTGGGGCTTTTTGTAATCCTCTGAGCAACTTAGCATTTATAAATTATTTGCATAATTTACTGAGTAGTTCTCAGTTGCGATAATCCCTAACATAACGACACTCACCTTTTATTACTGTTCCATGAATCTTAATAGCTGCCATTAACTTCTTTATCAAATGTGGTAACTTGATATTTATTATTTATACCACGAAAAATTGTGGTTCAAAATGTCATTGAATTATCTTTTTTTGTGCCTTGTCCATTCAGGGCATGAGTAATCATGCCTCTAATTAACTTCCTATTGTCTCCTTACGATCTCTCCCAATCCCTGTTTTGCTATCCACTTACACAAGCAGGTTACCGGCTGTTTTCCTTTTTCCTCAATTATGTGTCAAAAGATTTGCAACTGTCTCTTTCTGATTCTAAGTATAAGCGTCCATTTTGTTTCCATTTTCCTTTAAATTTCATCATTGCTCACATGCCAATGCTATTCCCAGCATTCTTCTGTTCCTCTTTATCTGTGAGGAAATTATTCAACATTCACTGTGTTATGGGACCTTACCCATAATAACATAATGGACTATTCCATACGTAATAAATACTGCGCCTCAAGAGGAAGCAGGAGAGTTCAGTCTGAAGTCGGGAGACCGGCTGACTGGCTGATCGGTTGATCGGGGAGGAACCCGAACGAGGCTACGCCGAAGGGCGGAGTCTCTTTCGGGGAGGTAAACCGACCCTGAACCCGTTTATATGGGTTCAAAGGGCATATTTTTGGCCGAGACCACGGGCTCGGAGATCCCACGTTAAACCGGCCTTGTGCCACATGATATCCTCGTGGGGGGAGGTGACTAAATAGCGTTCAGTCTGAAGTCTGGTGTGAAGTCCGTCAGGAGTCTGTCAGTCAGTCAGAGCGAGCGAGCGAGTCAGTCAGTCGAGTCAGAGGCAGTCCGAAACAGAGTCGCGTTCAGACAATTACTACAAGACATTTGGAATAGTGATACTGGTCGAGACTACATTGGTCTCCCTACTAAACCTGATTGTTCGTACTAACACTTTCTACTTCTTTGTATATATTCCTGTTTGTAATATATCTGTGTTATTCCATATCCGTGTTCAAGTTCTTTATTGGTTCTACCTTGGACTATCACTGTGGTACAAGGAACCGGACCATAACAGTGCGACGAGCGATTCGAACTCATTCGGTGGAAGAAAAAATGTTCGTTTGCCACAGAATAACACTGCCACATCGAAGGATCGATATGACAACAGCAGTCCGGCACTTTTATTTTGTTTCTAACGAAATTTTGTTTCTGAATTTGTTTACCTTTTTGTAAGACATTTATTTGCTAGAGTCTGTCTATATTTCTGAGATGAGGTATTATGTACAGTATTTACATTAGTCGGACTATTGTCCTCATCTTTGTCGCCATATTTGTCACAACGTTTCGGCCGTTGTACGCTCCGGCCTTCTTCAGGTGGTTGGAATTTCGAACTGAACCCTTTATTTCGATCACTGGGGTAGACTGTTCTAGTTCCACGTGCCATGTTTGATGGATGTCAGTTATCAGTTATCTCCTGCTAATTTTTCCCTCTGAAAGTTCTCCACTGCCTTAACTAGGACACATGGCACAGTGGATAAAAGCGTTGGTTAGATCCAGTGACAGGACCCAAAGAAGGTGAGTTCAATACCTGGTTAAGGCAGTGGAGAACTTTCAGAGGGGAAAATTAGGAGGAGATAACTGAAAACTGACATCCATCAAAAATGGCACGAAACTAGAACAGTCTACCCCAGTGATCTAAATAAAGGGTTCAGTTTGAAATTCCAAATGCACCTGAAGAAGGCCGGAGATACAACGGCCGAAACGTTGTGACAAATATGGCGATATTTTAGATGAGGACAATAGTCCAACTAATGTAAATACTGTATTTATTTGCTATTCAATGCGCCTTTAAGTTTCTGTGTTACATTTTCTGTCATATCTCGTTGAATACGCCGGTTCTCGTCCGTGCACGTCCTTCGTTATATCTAAGTGGTACTTCGAAAATATCCTACTGTTACGTTGAGCATCTCTTACTAATGCGGTAGTAGGGAGGTGCTGCTTAGAGAAGGAGCTTCTGGCAAATCAATTCGTCACTTTTACCGAACAGTGATAAAGTCTATGACGACTTATGCGGACATGACAATAGGACGAAGTAACTCAAACCCTGGGATGTGCGGGTAGTATAATGAATATCGACCCGGAAAGTCGAATCGGCGATCCGAGTTCAAGTTCCAGCCTAGATTGCTACATTCACTTCAGCACAAATGCCGTTGGGAAAGACATGAACCCGTCTCTTCTCCCTTCCCCGCTATGGGTTAAATAGCAGGGTAGGCTGGGATCCCTGGCTTTAGATGGCAACCATGAAAAGAGGAAAAACTCTGAATTCAAAACCGTCGAAAAGGCCGTGGTAAATCACTCCGCTAGCTCCAGGAAGAAGTTATGGCAATACAAAATAAATAAAGAAAAAGGAAATTGTGGAGAGTGATGATCGCTACGTCATGAACATGGCTTCCTTTTAATTAAAAAACAGGAAAAAATTCGTTAGAAACAACGATAAAAAATACTGAACTGTTATACAATATCAGTTTCCGAATTGATGAAGAAAAGATTTGAAGCAACAGAGATGTGGTTCTACAGAAGGATGCTAAGAACACCATGGACTGAGCATGTGAGCTATGACAAAGTTTTTAAAAAAAGTAGTAACAAAAAGGACACTTATACTTAACATCAGGAAGAGACAATTGAAATTTCTAGGACACATAATGAAGAAAGAAGGCTTAGAAAATTTGATACTCACAGGACAGATTAAAAGCAAGAAGAACGGAGGAAAACAACGAATAACCTATCTAGCGATCTTCAGTAAATGGATGACGGAACAAGGTTTAGGGGAGACTGTTAAAAGATAAAAATTATTAAAAGATACAAAAGACAAGAAATTGTGGAGAGCCATGATCACCAATGTCCTGAAGGGACACGGCACATAGAAGAAAACTAAAGTAGTAGCTTCAAAAAATATATAACATTTTAATAATACAGGTAGGAAAAATAGATAGATGCAGAATGAAACGGGCTTGCCTTAAAGAAAGTATTATATGACTATCTGCATTCTCTTTGGTAAGTCTCGGAGAAGACTCATAAGTCAAAAAAACAATCTGCATATATTTCAATACCTTTCATGTATCTGGGTTGAAAGCGGGAAAGATATGCAATCATGCATACAGTGTCTTGAACAAGGAGACGCGGCGAAGCCCATCTTTATCCTGTTTATACAACAGCCGATGCATACTTATTTCTTTATCATTGTTTTTATGTGATACTATTTGTCGTTGCCGCGGTAAAACCGAAGAAAGTTTTCTTAAAACATAAGAAAGTGTTATGTACAGAGAGACATTGAAACGACAAGGGTTAATACCAAAAACCCGTGGAAAGAATTGACGATTTAATTCACATATTGACGACACCTGGAATTGGTGTGTCGAGGGTATATGGAAAATGACCCTGACTTCGAGGGCAATGATGACTGACATGAGATCTACGCAGCTGAAAATTCAAGCTGTAAAGCGAAAACTTCATTTTCGTAAACAACGAATTTGGAGTTGATTTCTCCTGGTCGAAAGTTGAGTTGAAATACCAAGAGGGGGTGGATAAGCTACCCACGTTCAATGAGGAGATTTAGTGAGAGGTAATAATATGAGAAAATGGAAGGGAATTGCCAAAGATTATGTCCATAAATACGAATGCGCGAAGCGAATTCGTCAAAAGAGTGACGAGTCGAAGCAGAAGAAACAGACAGAAGAGAGGCTCACTTGATTATCTGCCGACAAAAGCCTCCGACTTCAGCCTTGTGCCAAACTTTACCAACAACAGCAAATCAAATGTTTGCCAGGTCGACGATAGCATCACTTCCGATTTAGATGCGGGCTGGGCTGATAATTAATTACATGCGAACTCTGATAAGCCAATTATTGTACAGAGGACTGATATAAAAACAGTAATTACTTTTGTTCAATTTATTCGAGTGTTATTTTTCTCCTGTACGCCATCGCCCTGCTTGACCCAGCCCGACACGAAGATACCTGCGACGATTCGATCTTAGCTGCGTAATGATCAAACTTAAATCACAACGTGGAATAAGGTTAGCTCTGTATTGAAGCGGTCACTTCAGCGACCTCCGCGGTGTTGGAAGTCTTGGACGGCCGGCTAGTGTGTTGTACGATTACATTTATATATCTTGTCTAACTCGTTCTAACCAAGCAACATTTCACCTCTCCTCTGTGTATTTACAGGGTACGATGTATTTGTAAACAACTCCAAAATTCAACATTTCGAAGATTATTTAAAAGTTTTTGATCCCACGTCTTCACGACTGAATCAAAAAGAGGTTTTTGGTAAGTTTTATTTATCTATTCAATCGCTTATGTTATGCTAACGTTAAGCGGCGCTTCGCGCTTTGTAAACCACAGCTATTGAGCTCCTTTATATTATCGCTACCCTCTGTCATAAAAGAATGTTGCTTCAGATAGCTCACTGTATCATCATCAGTCCAATGATAGGGAAGGACCCCTCGACGTGTTGTACTTCCTAGTAAGCTTGTCTCACTAAAAAAATTACGACTTAGTAGTGAGTTCGATCCTCACTGGGTGCCTTAATATTTTTTGTCTTAGTGCCACATTAAAGCTACGCTTAGAAAATCACCACTGTACTTCGACATGGTGTAATAGTTAGCAAGCTTGTCTCGATAGAATAATTAAGACTGAGTAATGAGTTCGATCCTCACTGGATGCTCCACACTTTCGGCCTTGTGTCACATCTAAGCTACGATTTGAAAATCAACATCAGTCCCATAGGGTCGTTGCGCAGCTGAGCGCCTGATCAATTCCCTTTACGTATCTCGGTTGAAAGCTGGAAATCATGCGTACAGTATATTGAGCAAATAGACCTGGCGAAGCCCATCCCCCTCCTTATCAAACCACAGCCGATGTCCTCCAACTTGAAGGTTCGATTTCACGGACACGTGGTCATTGAATCCATCGGGGGAACATTTCACCTTGGCCGTTGACATCATAGGAAGCTCTCCACCTAACGATGACGTGTCACCACCACGATGGCTGCATACATATCTATATCTATAGATATACATATATATGAAGCCTAGTCGAGCCCATTATGCTTGATGGCCGATAACCCGACAAAAATTCATCCGCCCTTTCATAGATATTTTTAAAATCCTGCTGGGTGTCTAGCCATTCTCCTCAGCAGAAAAAATTGTTGGGAAACCGGTTTAATAATCGGTGATCAGACTGCTTAGAAGGCAAGTACTGGGTTACATGATAACAGAGGGACATGACATAAAATTGTATACAAAGGCAATAAATAATTGTACCGGTGGAGCAATGGATCGTGACACGGATTGGGGAATTGGAGAATCGATTAGGATTCGAATCCTAATCGAGTTCATTATATTCACTTATCTTGGGAATCTATCTCTTCCCACAGCTATGGATAAATAACAGGATACATTTATAGATTTCGTTAGCAAAAAAATGGGGCACATGGGGTCCCAAGCGTACATGGGAAAAGGATCAAAAGTTACTCCAAGCTCTCTCAACACTTCCTCTATAGTGACACCTCAGCCATCAAATATTAACCGTAACCAGCCCCGAGGGAGAGGCAAAGCCTGGGACTCGATTAGTCAAATCATAGAATGAGCAGAAAAGAACGGCAAATATACTGATCGAAACAACTCCCTCCCAGCAATACATGTACAATATAGGAGATTCCATATTTTAGACGTCGTTTGGCTCTCTTTTTTCACTGTTCAGACAGCTGCCGAAACCTTTCAAAACTTCGCTTTACGTCACTTCGCTTTTACGAAAAACATTCAGCTTTAACCCACTATCTGAAATTTTGTAAATTGATATTAATTTATACTGGGAAATATATTCCAAAAATTCAGATACCAAAAATAATTTTCTATACATGCCTACCTTAACATCAATGTTTGTCGACTGTGGCCGACACCTAACCCGAAAACAAAGCACCAGTTCATAATTAATGATATAATTTTCTATAATTTCTATAAATGTCACGCAAAGTCTTATGTCAGGTCTTAATAGTAGTATTTTATTGCCATTTAGGCTTACGAATGATGGGACAACTTAAACTGACTAGTCCACTCGTAAAAAAAGGGGCGGAGAGGGATAATTTTTTTAACAAAAAAATAGCACCCACTAAATTTTCTTCTACCCCCGACATTTGTCAGAATCGAAAAAAATATTTTTCAACATTTTAGACGTTGATAATATAAATAAAATAAATACAGTGGCAAATCGATCTCTGACTTTTAAAGCGCTATCTATACCATTTTTTTTATTTACAAATGTTTAATTCGAAAATGTGCTGACGTCATGGATAACCACGTACTGTGGAAAAGGACAACTGTAATACACAGTTAACAAATGAGGTCAGTGCAGTTTCAAATTTCACATTTATAAATAAAAACAGTGTATGGACAACTCTTTAAAATGTCAAAGGTTGATTTGATACTGTTTTTATATTATGTACAGGACCACTTCCTAAAATGATAAAAATTCATATTTTTTTTATTCTGACAAATATCGTGAATTGAGGAAAGTCTAAGGTATGCTATTCAAAAAACAATTGGAAAAAATGATTCCCTATTTTTACAAGTGGAGCAGTCAATTTAGTAGTTCGCGAAATGTTTTACACAAATACTTGACTGTTTCTTTTTTTACTTTCGGAAAACGAAGGATATGTTTTATTCATTAATAAGTATCTAATTGCAAACAAATAAATCTTTTTTATATATACTAGGGTAAGTAAAAAAATTATCCACACCTTCGCCATAACGTATCTTTAGGTTTGTCACACTGCCTCCTGCTCATGCGTGATTATATTTGGTACGATTGGTGTCACGTGATCGCAGTTTAAGCTTGATCGCACCTGTTCTCTTGCTGCTGTTACAGTGTAATCATGCCCACTCCGCTAGCAGTGTACACTAAGGAGAAACAAGTGTAATGATCCGATTTCTCAGGTCGGAAGGTGTGACAGGGGCTTAAATTCATTGGCTACATTTTGCACAATACGGCCACTAGGCACAACCACATAGAAGTGTGTGTCAGTGGATGGAGAATTTTAAAACTGGCCGGACAAGATTGACACACGAAAAAGAAGCAAGACTCCCGTCAACTTCAACAACTGACGAGAAAATTCAAAAAGCTCGAGAGATGGTAATGGCGAACCGGCGAGTTATCATCGATGAGGTTTTTATCATTTAATTTTCTTATAGTATTGTTTTCGAACAGTTTACAACAGTAAGACTATTTCGTGTCTTTTATTTACTTTATTTATGAAGAGACAAGAGCTAATACTTTATTCTTAAAATACTGAATAAAAAAATTGTGAAGCGAATTTTCACTCATTTTGGTGATAAATAGAGGGCTGACAATACATATATAGTCTCTAGGACTTATAGTTGATGTCAGAACGAGGCTTCCTTGGTACAGAGAATATACTTTGATCACAGGACCGTGTACACATAGGTAATTAAAAAATATATCTGTAAGTGAAAGTGGCTGTTAAGCATGAATGTTATAGTCCTGTGTTCATATATAATATATTATTTTCGCATGATGATTATATCGCATGAAACTGATTAGCAGATTTTGGTATTATTTAATTAATAATATTTTTTATAATTAGACTCATTCCACTTCAACCTTTAGGTTATTTATGTTTTAAGAGCAGGCACGGTGGAGTAATGGATAGCGGCTTTGATTGAGGAATCGGAGAGCCAAGTTCGAAATCCAGTCGAACCATTGCATTCACGATTCATGCTAATAACCTTGGGAAAGGTATGAATCCTCTTCTTTCCCCACCCGCTAGTTATGGGTAAGTATAGCCGGCAACTTGTATACCGTAGAAAGAAATGACAACCTACTGCGGGGAAAAATCTGCCTCGTCAGTCGTGTATCGAGAGATACGTGATTGCCTAATCATAAATGACTGAGATTTTAAGTTTTAGCTATTATTCTCTCTCTCTCTCTATATATATATATATATATATATATATATATATGCTTTAAAAATCAGGAGGTCAGTATAATTATGTAGCGTTTTTTGTGGGTTTTTTTTTTAAATAAAACATTAAGGTGATCATTTATTTAAAATATCGCCCGAAGAGACCGTCAGGTCGAAACCAAGGTAGCGTATTTTAATTGGCCTCTTGATTTTTAAAGTTGAAAGCTCTACATGTTATTTTTACTTTTATTTATATTTTTTTCACACACGTATTGAGCACTTTTTAATACTACTGTTTCCTGGTCTGATTCAGCCCTTACCACTAACCTTTTACACACACACACACACACACACACACATATATATATATATATATATATATATATATATATATATATATTTTTCTTTTGTTGTTTTTCTATTTAATTCATGGTATACATTGTTTTCTTTAGTCCCCAATAGAACTGACGTGAAAGGAATAACAATTGGTTGAGCAGTTTTTTGTCCTCTTTTTTGGTATTCGATTTACTTCTTTATATTTACATAAAAATAATTTTGTTCTTCTTTTCTGTGTCTGATTTTAATGAATTCTTTTTTATTGCAACTTTACACTGATTTATTTGGATGTTCTCATTTTCATTGATATAGAACTTTTCAGCCATTTCATCCTCTGGCTACTTTTAGGTACTTGTGTAGCGATATCACTTGTCAACTGATATCTGACAGGATGTCATAGAAATCGTTTTGACAATTATTATCTTGGCAAAGACGGTCAGCTAAGTGGAGGGGGCCTCCCAAGAACCAGATCAACCGACCCTGACAAAGAGGGTAAGTTGAATGGAGCGGACTAAGAACTAGATCACAAGACGCTGAGTTCTCGATGAATTACGTTTTTAGACGAAAGCTGACAGGGCAAAGAAGGCTTGCTCTATATAAGACAGTGGTCCCTAGCAGCCTAAACCAGAGAACCGTCCGCCACGTGAAAGAAAGGCACACGTCACTTAGACCGTTCGCGCCCTTGTATCGCATCAGTTTTCCTCGCTCGACTCCAGCCTTCCCCTACGAGCAGGTAAGCAACTGGATAAAATTGCCCGACTGCTACAATCTCGTCGCATGGTTTTATCTCATGGGTAATGATCCGGACAAAGAATTATTTTGCTTCTATTCGAGTATTCGACTAGAAGAATTTGCGCCCTGCCAAACGAATCTAGTGTCTCGTATGAACCGCAAAGCTACACTGGCCACATTTGGTAGAACCCTTTATTCAGTTCATGAGGTAGACTCTTCTCATTCCACTGTGTATGCTAATGAATGTCTTGTATTACTCTGATCGTTATTATGAGTGTAATCAACGTCCGTTAAAACATTTTTGCCACTATTCTCTTAAAACCAGGAGATGGAAGTCCAACATATTTCTGGGACTTTACAGGATGGCCCCTTATCCCGCAAAACAAAGGCAAAAGAAATCCTGAATATCTTACGCCTCATTGTATTCATCATTTGACACCAAAAAGCAAATTCATTCTCATCTTAAGAAATCCCGTCGAAAGGTACGTTCTTATTTTGTTTTCATCTTTTTTAACTATCATTATCTTAATTTTTTAATATCGATATCACCCCATGCAAGGTAATAAAGCCACTAAGACACAAGGGGTTACAGGATGTGGAAGAATTAGGAACAGAAGCATTAATAATAGGCAGGAAAAAGAAAGAATAATCAGAAGGATAGTAGATAGCGATTGACATTGCATTTAAATTTTTGTAGATTAAAATCGGCTGGAAAGCAAGGATAGGAGTTTCACAAGTTAGAAATGCGAGAAAATAAACTGTTAGCATAGAATTTACGGTTCCATCTAGCCAGCTCAACTGTAAATTGATGACATCTCGACGCCAGTCTAGTACTGCGCTTAAAATTAAAAATTAAATTAAATAAATTCCATATCGAAGAGCTTATCTGAACAATTACCATGAAAGTATTTATAGAAAAAACACTGAGAGGCAACCTTACGGCAGTGGGAAAGTGACTGAAATATATATATATATACACATACATACAAGTTTGATTAAAAAGAACAAAGTTTTTTTTTAATTTTTTATTATACTTTTACAACTTTCAGCCAAGATGTTGAGTATTATGTTCGAAGTTGTGGATAAACTGTCCGAGGTTCATATATTGTTACTTTTGTTCCAGTACTTTCTTTTTCTAATCATCATCGAGAAAAATCAACCCTTCTAGTGAGCCAGATTGACAAGGAAATCGCATGTACATGGTGACCAGTAAAAAAAAAGCGGCAAAATGTATTATCAATGTTTTATCTTTCAGGAATAATTGAACTTGAATAAATTTCTTGAATATTAATGACCTTGAATAATCATTCAACTCTCGCGTAATTACTTAACTCTGATTGGTTCTTTTGTGATTGATTAATTGCTGCTTGATCTTGTGACTCGTCATGTAAAGGTTATTTGAAGACAACTTTCGTCTTTTGTTCTGTCGTTCTTATATGGTTAAACAACTCTCTGATTTTGAGCATCAAATCGTACTTTTCAAAGAACGTCCGACGTGAAGATTGACGAAATGTGCAGAAATTCTTCCAGAATTTTTTAGTCATATCAGTCGTCACCAGTTTTCAACGGTTGTCTCATACATTTCTGAATTTACTGCTTTTTTACTGGGCACTCTGTATATATCCGTAAAAGATTAGGATGCAACAATCATAATTTGAAAGAATATATTTAACTCGCACGAGAAAAAAAAAACTTTGTAATATTAGTAAGAACTTACTGAACGTCATCTTTGATTGCATGTAAAAGTTCATCGATAACGCTATTGATCATGTTCTTGCATTTATACTCAATACGTTTCCTTTCTTTTCTATCTTTCTTTATATAGGTTATATTCGGATTATTTATTCTTGTTTCGAAAAAATGTCTCGCCGGAAAGTTTCCATGAAGGAGTTATGTCCGCCTTGAAACTATTTGATGACTGTGAAAAAGAACATGGCACACGATTGTGTTTGTATAACAAAACACTGCACATGCACACTAATGTAAGTATTTTTCATAGTATCATCATTATCATCAGTCTCGTGACCGGGTGTGGTCATAGGGTCACTGCGCATCTGAGTACCTGATCAGTTCCCATTACATATCTGGGTTGAAAACTGGAAATATATTGTTAGGTGTAACATGTCTTGGAAAAAGTACACCTGGTGGAGCCCATCCCTCTCCGATTATTTCCTAACTTGAAGGTTCGCCTTGGTCACGTATACGTGGCCGTTGATTCCATCGGAGAACACTCCACCCTGACCGCCTTGAAAGCATCCTCCTATCGTTGCTGTGTCATCACTGCACTGGAGCCCAGTATACCCCATTGTACTAGATAGCTGTTGACCCTGAAAAGGGTTAATCTGCTCTATAACATGTCTTGTATTTTTTATCTTGATGTATGTCTAGCCACCCTCTTCTCCAGAAATGCCTGGTAGAGGGAACCGGTTAAGTCACCATTGACCCGACCATGTGGTTCGTAGTACTGGGTTAGATGGTACGAGTATCGTTACTTCCATGGAAAGTGCTCGAGCGAACTACATTTCTTGGTTCCGCCAGGTCAAACCTTCACTAGAATATAGTAGCAAGCCGCCCACATTCCCTCAGTATTCCATCAGCGAGAAGTTCCACTCGAACAGCTTCTTCCCATGAACCACTACCCTGTGAAACAGACTCCCAAGAGGGTGTTTCCCAGATCACTGCAATCTCAACCTGTTCAACTATTATCTTCCCCTACTATTCGTATAAACTACCCCTTAACGTAACCTTTTACCTTGAGTGAACCCCGGGCCTTATAAAGAGTGAACCCTACTGTAAAAAAATTTTTAAAAGCTCTCGTAGGGTGACCTGACATAAGTTAGATAAATTAGCTCGAAATGATTTACTTAATTCACTGTGAATAAGTTAAGATAAAAAGGAACTTCTGAGGGGAGTAAAATTACACAGGTTCTTAAGTCCAACATTCATGACAGCAGAAAAATATCATTTTGTTTTTATCTTTCAATAAAGGTTGTTTTTTGCACAGGTCGCCTTGATTACGGTGCGTCTTCAACAGATCTCCAGTGACGTCATCAGCAGCCTAAATGTTGATACAATTAACTACGAAAAGCAGTTCTCATGTTATGCATTAGCATTCTGCCTGCAACCATAGACTTCCTACGACCAAATCTGTTGTAGATTAATATTTTAGTGCCCAGAGACTATTGCAAAATTTGACGAAGAGTCAATATTAATAGATTTGATTTTAACCATCACCAGTTATAGTAGATGGAAAGACCACCGATGGAGTAGACAGTGTACCTCGAAAAGAAGATTGCTAGAGATGCTGCCCTACTTCCGGAAGTCAAAAAAAGAATTGTGCTTGACTGGGCGGGTTTTGGAAAAGTTTATAGCATCATGAGAAGACCCAAGTAAACAATGGAAACCAAGAGAAAGTTGTATACTGTATATATTCTACCCGTGATGATTTATGGAAGTGAGATATGAGGGTTAAACACCACTACTGCATAGACTCTTGCAGTGAACCAACATAACATGTAGCGAATCATGCTCAGCATCACCTTACATGACAGGAAGAGAAACACACATAATCGAGACCATTAAGAAAGACAAATATAGATGGATTGGCCACGTCTCTCGTCTCAGAGACAACAGGTAAACTATTACAGCGACAGAGTGGACACTAAGAGAGTGGGGAAAGAATTGAGTTCAAATTGAGTGCAAGATGGCACGACGATCTGATCAGATACCTCGGCCCTACATGGCCCAGTATGGCCAGAGATAGGAAGTGGTGGTGGTCAAACAGAGAAGTGTCCCCCCAATAAGTGTGAGTAGGCTATGGATCTAGATTTGGTGCTTTAAAACACATAATATATATATATATATATTAGTTGATTGTTTGATTTTGTTTAGCGGCATATCAATTTCTATGGGTTATATATAGCCGAAATATAAATATTTTGAACACAATTTTATTGATTCAACTATAGATAAAACGTATTGTTAGTCATTTTGCTATAAAATTTATCGTTGGTAATTCTACTATGAAATGCATTGTTGGTAATTTTACTATAAATTAGTTGGTAGTTTAGCAGAACAAAAATAAATGGGAATGTAACTCAATACATAATCCACCCTGGTCCCGGGGGTGAGATGCGTTTCCGTCACCTCTTCGTCCTCCCTCTGAGTTCGGCGAGAAGTCTCCGGGTTATATGATAAGGGAGTGTAAGCATTAACTGGTCCTGCAAAGTACTAAAAAAATCTAAAAAAATAAATTCAGAGGTGCTACTAAAAAGTCATTAGGTTTATGAATCTAAATGGACTTAATATATTAAATTGAAGGGTGTGTCAAGATCATGAAGATACATAACGTCAGCCCTTGGTCACGTGGACGGAGTAGCGAAGGGCTACGATAGAACTAGTACAATGCAATATTTACCATTTACCAATTTTTAAAGAAATGCACATGAAAAAGTGTATTATTCATAAATTTATAAACATTTACTTAATTATTAAAATATGTGAACCAACCCTAAGTAAATCCTTATTATTTATCAATTTATAAAGTTCGAATCAATTGGCAATTAGCCAGTGTTTTAATAATCATTCCAATAAACAATCTAATAATTAAATTGTGTAAATAAGCTATCTAATAAAATAACAGTGTTTATTAATTTTGTTGTCAATTCTCAAGAACAAAGAAAATGTATAAATTCACTTTCATATTTTTAGGTTTTATTACAATTCTAATCATCGCTTTTTAAAACAATAAACCCTGCCGAGAAGTGATGGTAATTAAAAAAGGCGGTGTCATGGGAAAAACCGTCCTTTTCACATATTTCTTTCATTTTCTTGCCCTCTAAACTGTAATATTTCCAAAAGAGATTCATCAGTCGTCCAATCATCTTTTCACTTTACACAACGTCAAAGTAAATCCGCGCAATACTAAACAGAGGTTGCATTTCAACAGATAACAAAAAATATTTTTAACTTCCTTAATATAATCTTCTTCTCTATCTCATCTCGATGTACTTCTGCGCCAGCCCAACTGAAGTGTAATAAACGTTGCGCCACCTACCGTAGATCAATGGTCCCCCAAATCATTACTAATTAATTCAATCATTTTCATATGTTTAGGTTTTATTACAATTCTTATCATCACTTTTAAGACAATATACATTGCCGAGTAGTAGTTAAAATAAAATGGGTGTCATGGGAAAAAAAACGTCCTTTTGTCATTCCGTTTTTTGTTTTTTGTTTTTTTTTTTTACGACACAATGGTCCTTGTTTACCATTTTTTTCTTATTCTTGCCATGCCAATGATTTCAATTTCATTTTTGATTCTTCTGCGATCCATGTTTAACATTTGCGCAGTTTCCAAAGCTAATTTCTCATGACTCAGTAGCGTTACAATATCTTTTTTCTTTCTTTCGAAGCTATCTAGCAATCTTTATAGATCTGAACTTAATCCATGGTTAGCAGTGTTTTATTATTATTATTATTATTATTATTATTATTATTATTATTATTACGACGCCGACTATGAGTTATCTTGTGCTTGGCATTTTCTTATATATTTTCATCTGCGGGCGCCAACAATGTGTTTATTCACAATTATACTTTTAATGTGAAAACAATGTCAAGTTATAAATCAACCGATAAAGACAATTTTTATTAACTAAGTTGGCTATTATAAAGTTGGCGTTTGAAGTCAGATTTCGTAATTGACATCTGGCAGTCAGTCTGCTACAAACTAAATGTCAGCAATACTATGATATATATATCTATTTCCAATATGATGAACAACCCTCCAATTGCATAATGAAATCGCGCACAAATAAATATGCTATTTTAAATAGCGAATTTAACAAATTCTAATTTATTATTAAATATTTTTAATAAAAATATTACTAATAAAAAAAAAAATATTACTAATAATAAACATTATTACAAATAATAAAAAAATTTCTAATAAAATGTTACAAAATTTCACATGGTTTATTTATAATTAAAATATAATTGCTCCGAAAATTTTGCCGGTATCGGTTGTTTGATATCAATTTTATTGTGAAAACAGGCTAATGTTAGTAATGTCTGATAAGAAAACGAGATAAAATTTTCCATACGTAAAAAAAAATTGTTTATTCATTTCTGAACTGCCTATTAACGTCGTCCGAATCGAGGGTATGTTTTTCGGGTTTTCTACAAACTTTCGATCTTTTTGCGAGTGCGAAAGGAATTCTGCTCTTTCTTTCGTGGGTCATGAGTTTATATAACTTATCCGGTTTTCTTGTGTGTGTGTGTGTGTGTGCGTGCGTGCGTGCGTGCGTGCGTGCATGTGTGTGTCGTATGTTCAACTGGGTTCACTTCCTTATTTCTGTTGGTACTCCCAGATTCTGTTCTGGTGGCTTTGAAGTCACCTTCTAGATCAACCATCGTAGTTGCCTAGGTCTTTTGTTTTTCTGAGGTAGCTGTGGGTGCAAAGCTTTAGGATCTCCTAGAATAAACCCAACCCATGTTGGGATCACCACAGATCAACTTTTCTTAGATCAAAGATGTCTTCGATGCCAATTAAATTCGATACTGGCCGTTGGTATTTCCTGGTGTGAATCACATACTACAAGACTTACAAATAAAATCTGACACCGTGAACAAGTATTCAAGTAATAAATAATACGACAGAATGGTTACTTTTTGTCATGATGTATACAAGCGCGCGCACACTCACACGTGCAAATTTTATAATAAAAATCAAATATTTTCCTTCCTAGGTGAGAATATTGATTGGATTATATGGCAACTACCTCTTGGAATGGTTTGACGTATTTTCTACTGACCAGTTCCTGATAATTAAGACTGAGGAATACAAAAATGATATTGCGGGGCACCTGATAAAGGTATTTAAATTCCTTGGGCTTGGTAAGTTTCGACGTCTTCATTTTTATGTTTATAATATAATATAAAAGGGAGAGATTAACAATGATAGCATAAGAATTATATTTCTATAATAGAATAATTTAGAGTACATGATGCGCCAGGTATTTGAGAATACATGTTTAACACGCCATAACGACCTAACGTAATGCTACGCGGCATGCACCAAATTTTAGCATTCCCAATTTTCTTTCGGGTGTATCGAGAACATTGACATTTCGAATCTAATACAGGAAAGGATGCAACCAGTACTGCTTTTGAGTGAATGTATAAAACCTTTCTCTTAAAACAGTTTTGATAAAAATTGGTTTCACAAGTCTGGTATCGCGCTTTTCAGGTAGATATTAATATAGAGAGATTAAAGTAACGAGATATAGGTAGCAGAACGTTTTGTTAGCGTTGTTTTTGTTGTTCTTGTTTTGTTTTGTTTTTCATTATAAAGATTTTTTTTTTTAAATCGTCACACTGATTTAACTAAATTATTTTTTACGGCTTAACTGTCTTGTGTGTTATTTAGAGCTGAAATATATGTTTGTTTGCTATTTGGCGGTAATGATTTTTTTTCCAGATACAAGTTCTGCTATTTAACCCATAGCTGAGAGGAAAAGAGATGGATTCATACTTTTCCCAAGGGTATTTACGCATAAGGATATATAACGAACTGGACTGGAATTCGAATTAGGCTCTCCAAGTTCCCATGCCTAGCTACTATCTATTAAACCACCCGTATATCCCAAACTGACTGAAAAGGAGTATTCTCTCTAGTAGGAAGGCAACGGGGGCAGCTCAAGGCGGTGTAATGGTTAGCATGCTTGTCTCGCTAGAACAGTTACGACTGAGTAGTGAGTTCGATCCTCACTAGGTGTCCCATACTTTCGGCCTTGTGCCACATCCGAGCTACGCTTGGAAAATTGCTAGTAGGAAGGCAACTGGAAAATTAGACTTGCGATAAATGAATTCAAATTACATATAGGTATTGGAACATCTGATCGGCCATTTCACTTTTATCGGTAACAAATGGATGAAACATTCAAATAAAATTGACAAATTTTGAGTTCTTCCCAGCACTGAACGTTAATCCACTGATGTCTGCATGAAAATATTCAGGCTATTAAAAAAGTTAAAACTATAACTGAACAGTTTTTTTTTCGTTTCCTTAATATTTCAGCACTCTTTGTTTCTAACTTGATATGTAATATCAAGCCTCCAATATGGCAGTCAATGAAATCAAACCTCCAATATGGCAGTCAATGAAATCAAGCCTCCAATATGGCAGTGAATGTTGGAAAGTCTCTTCAGAGATGAAGAAGAGATTTAAAGCAACAGAATTGTGGTTTTACAGGAAGATGCCGATGATCGGAATTGTGAGCAATGACAAACTTTTAGAGAAAATGGATGCAAAAAGAACATTTATACTTAGAATCAGAAAAGTGACAGATGAAATTTCTGGGACACATAATGTGGAAACAGGGCTTGGAGAATGTGATATTCACAAGACACGCTGAAGGCAAGATCGACAGAGGAAAGCAGCGAGTAACTAACGAGTTTGTGTAAATAGATAGAATAACAGGGAATAGTAAGGGGACAAACAGAGCTTAGTGCTACAAAGGATGTGAAGCTATGGAGAGCCATGATCATCCACATCATTAAGAGACAAGGTACATAAAAGCTGAAGAAAAAACACTTCCAAATAAATTATAATTAGATATTTAACTCTCTGAGAAAAGTTGTAAAAACCGAAGAAAAATGTTTTAAAGAAATCCAAAGGAATAGCGAAAAATGCCTTCCAAATGCTAAGCAAAGTATTGAGAAATATGAAATTTTCGTTATAAACAAAGAAAATAATACTGAACTACTGCGTATTATCAATTATTCTCCTATATGGCAGTAAATAATAGATAATCTCTTCTCAGCTGAAGGATGGAATTGAGGCAACGGAGATGTAATTCTACAGAAGGATGCTGAGAATACAATTAACTGGGTGTGTGAAAAACGAAGAAGCTTTAAGGAAAATGTGAGCTAAAAGGATATTTAGATCAAAAAGCGATAGTCAAAAGTTTCTAGGATACATAAAAGAGGGTTTGGAGAATTTAACACTTACGAGACATACTAAAGGCAAGATGGGCAAAGACATACTAAAAGCAAGATGGGCAAAGAGAAACAGCGCGTACCCTAACAAGTTTATGTAAATGGATAATGAGAGAGATAGTAAGGAGATAAATATTTCTTCGAGCTACGAAGGATAGGAAGTTGTGGGGAGCTATAATCGCCTGCGTATCGAGAGAACACTGCACATGAAAGAAAAAGATCGGATTGACAGTACGATTTTCGTTTTTATTTGTTAGCAAAACAACAAAGAAAATGCTTCACTCATAAATAGTTTATTTGAAAATTGATGAGTCGAATGAACTTGAAAATATTGATGTTTTATTATGCAGATTTTCAGACTGAACATCCACATGCTAAAGAAAAGCAAAACAGAAGGCAGGGTTAATAAAATGCTGTTTGCGTGTCTGATAAAACTGGAGTTAGAGCGTCAAATTAACATTGTTAATTATGTGTATGCAGCTTTTCAAAATAAATAATGTAAATTTACTGCACTTGTATTTTTCAGATCAGCTGAGTAACGAACATTTAAAGAAGATATCTTCTGGGAGACACGCTTTCGAAAGATCAGATGACCTGAAGAAAATTGGTGCAATGTTGCCAACAACAAGAGTTTTACTAAAACAGTTTTATTCAAGAAGCAAATTTAAAGTCAATGTTATTCTTGGGGATAAAAAGGTTTATATGGGAATAACAATAAATCTTTAGATATTTCATTTTCAAATGCGCGCGCGCGTGCGTGTGTGTGTGTGTGTGTGTGTGTGTGTGTGTGTGTGTACTTTTGCTTGATTTTGTTTACTTATTTTATACCTAATGATAGAAAGCAAGTTAAATGAAAATTGCATTGTGGCTGCACGCGCGCGCGTCTCTATGTATGCGTGCGTATGATTGATAAATGTTTTTATTTATTTAAACGTTACTTATCAGTTTTCAGTTTTTTGTTTTTTTGTTTTTTGTTTTTTTTTGTTTTTTGGATACACTATCTACTTTCTCTTTATATACAGGATATCTCCCCAAAATGTACTCGTTCTTTAAATGACAATAAATGCAGAGTTTATGAATTTGTAAACAAGATTAAAGGTTAAAATTATGAAATATTAACGTTTATTGATTTACAAAGAGGATTAAAGGTTTAGATTAAATATCAAATGCATGTTTATAAATATTCAAGCTGACAAAAAAAGTCAGTACATGTTTGGGAACACCCTTTATATATATATATATATATATATATATATATATATATATAATTAAAAATGCTTAAACACTAGTACTCCATGGTCATAATTTATTACATTGGAATCGTAAATACTATCCAATTCATCAGACCTAAAAATTCAAAAAGAAATCAGAAAAAATAACTCCGGGAATAAAAAATAAAATTTAGTGAGAGTGTATGTATGAGAGTGTGGGACATTAACCACTAATATTATCTATCTATCTATCTATCTATATATATATATATATATATATATATATTTACAGAGTATGTCATAATTTTAGAAACAAAATGTCAGGCACAAATCAAAGACTACAAATAATAGAGTAATGGAAATAACATTTATTGAAAGGTAAAAGGATAACATTTTACGATCTGCAACCATTTAGTCTCAAACATAAACTAAAAATGCCAAAAGGAGCTCTAGAGTACATGCTCCAGATATCCACCGAAGGCACTGTTGAATGCGGCAGACAAATTATTGTTAACGCGTGCACATGCCTCCTGGTAAGGAACCCATTGCCCTGCGATCTTCACAAGTGACATGAGCTTCAAAGTTGTTGACCAACTTGAAAATCTGACTCCTGTTTGGAAATGTGTTGAAATCGAACTTCCTTCTGTATCTTACTTGGGCAATTTTGAAAGACTTTCGTAATATATCTTCACACAAAAGATCTTTTGCTCCATTGTTCAAGGCATGGTTTCGCTTTATTTAATTGAATATATCATATTGTTAAATATTTCCCCAGCAATAATCTGAAAAGAGAAAGAGAATAAAGTCAACTGGGAAGATATACGAAGCCTCTGTTTTGTTTCTACAATTGTGAAACACCCTGTATTTACATGTGTGTGTGTGTGTCTGAGAGAGAGACAGAGAGAGAATGATGTAAAATGAACCAGTTGAGGTAGAGGGTTACAAAGATTATGGAGATATGTAGTGAAGATATCAGTTAACCCTAGACTTGAACAGGCTGTAGTGATGGGGAAGCATCCTCTTGGGAGTCGGTTCAACAGTCATTATGATGGGTAATGCAGTGTTTTCATTCTCCTAGATTGATTGACACTCAAGGCAAGAAAGCCCTGTCTCTCCTACTATTTAACCAACCACTGGAGGAAAATAAATCCATGCATTTTCCAATACCGTTAGTGAGTACAACCGTTAAAATTGGTTGAGCCTTCAGGTTTAAAGGGAAAACGTCTTAATACTTTGTGTCCTAGCTTCCAAGATACATTTTGTGTATCTCCGTTTAAAAATGATTGATACCTTTTTAAACCTGAAGTAATAACGTTCAGAAAATAGTAATGCCTTTCACTTTCGATTTCAATTCATTATTTCTACGATTAATGCCAACTAATCTATCTAAATCTCTTGCTAATTTTATGTAACAAACTGGAAGTTATACAGAATTGTGTGTATATTGGTTTCTTCTTTCTTCGTTATTTTTCATTTCATCTTTTTTGTATTCTCAATGTCGTCTTTATTTAACTATACAATCCGTCAAATATATTTGTATACTTTTTATTTGTAATGTGTATAACGTTTAATGCCAACAGTGAAAGGGAGATAACTCTAGTTATCAAACGCCAGATGTTTGCGATTCCGTTATGACAATAAAAGACGTTCACAAAGATTGATTATGAAAATGCGAATGCGCAGAGCATAACAATTATAATCGGAATAGATATATTGAAAGACTCATATATGAAAACCTTTTAATAATAGTAGAGACTTAACAATATTCTGTCACTTTTGACAGCATGAATAAATTAGTCTACAAACAAAATAGCGTGTTACGTACTACGAGTTAGTTGAAGTTTTATGAGCAAACAATGACGATTCAGTGTTATCACGAATAATGCAACAGATGTCAGACTTTATCTTGAACTAGCATAAAATTTACATACACCAAGTTATTTAACCATTTCAAAACAGCCAAAACAAAAATAAAAAGATTATTAAAAGATTACTTATAAGTAAAAGACTAAACTAATATAAAATAAAAAAGAGAACGAAAATGCCGCGCATATGTGCAGCAGAGCGGGTGCAAGAGCTTCGTGCCCCCACCCCGAATCTAGGATACCCCTCGCCGAATCTATGATACGCCCCACCCCCACTCTACTACATCTCAATTTTCATAAGTTTGTATTCATATAAAATACAAATTTTGTTCTAGCTTGGTTATGTACAATAATTGATATGTAATATAGGTAAACAATTAGAAAAACTAAAAATAAATACAATGTATCTAAATACAACTTAGAGACATGTCATAATAGATCGTTTCATTTTAAATAAATTATCAATGTTTTGCGACAATTTTTATCATCAACTTGAGATTTTCCGTATTAAAAAGTTGAATAATTTCCCAGCATAAGTTCTGAATTATTTTAACATCTTATTCTGTTCTATAAAAGAAACGATTCAATTTTTGTGCGATTGGTCCAAGGTAAAACAATTTCCAATATACGTGGTTTGAATGAGGCTCGTTATAAGGTTGAGTCGACCCCCAGTAGACGTTCAAGTCTATTGGGACTCGAGTCAACCCCATACCTCATATATATGATGCATCACTAAATATGATGGAAAAATAGTCGGCTCCTTCCACCACTCGTATTCTCCTGTCATGCTTTATCTTGACAAGGACCAGATCAAGCAAAAAAATGGAGTATTGCTGCCATTATCACTTTCCAGCCTTTACACAGGCCAAAATTGTTAAGGCGGCCTTGTGAGGAATGACTTGTAGTCCCTTCACCACAGATACAACGTCGCAAGCTTATCGCTACTCCCAAGCTAAATAGTCAAACAAGCTCCATTCTATAGTGTCACCAGTACAGTCCTTTATAACCAAGACCCACTTTGTTACATCCCAAGAGTCGAATCATCCTCCTTCTCTATATATTCTATAATGGAACGAACCCCTGTGTGGATTCTTCCTTTGAACCCTACAATCTTCTACAATCTTATGGGCAAGTGGCCGAGTGGTTAGAACGTCCGAATTCTGATCATGAGACCCAGGTTCGAATTTGTCAGGAAGGAGACTTCCTGATGCTATCGGACTGGAGGGGTCGATCCTAACCTTCGGCACCTTTGGAAATGGCCTGAAAAAAAATACCACGTGTTCACCCAAGCCTTGTGAGTAAAATTGAGTAGACGGAACCCTTGGTGCCGTCGATAGCTGTGCTAGCATGAAGTCACAAGTCATTGTGGCCGAGGGCTTGAGCGTGCTGGCCTTGTTCAAATTGTTGGTCACGCTAGTAGATAACACGCTCTTTCCCAGAAAGTGTAACTAAGGTCTGCTCAGCATAGATGCGATATAAACCACAGGTTGGCTCCGCGGGTGTTGAACAAACACAAAGGCGCCTAAGCGAGTGTCTGCAATAGGGATTGGCTAGCCGCCCTAGTAGACAGGTATACTCGAATACGAGTGGCCAGCTATACATGCATACAATCCTCACCTCTTCAAATGTAAGAGTCAGTCGTGATCTATCACTCATACCCACATATTTACATCCTACTTGTTCATATCTCATTCAGTAAACTTTTACCTTGAGTGGCTCTTGGGCTGTGTATTGGTTAAACATTACTACAAAAAAATAATTAAAAAAATAAAACTGGATCTTCCAAAAAATATTTAACGACGATAATCTATAAATACTGATCAATATTTTTCAAATTTATATTTTCCTTTCGGCGAATTGTGAATAGGCAATTATAATGTGTGTCCGCACAGACATACACACGAAGTAAAACGTGCTTTTAAATTCTGAATTGGTAATGTGGTTCACTCAGTAAAAAGCTGACATCCGTTCACAATGTGGCACATATGATACCCAGTCTATGCACTTAAACAGTAAATCATATAAATGTCAGAATTTGAACGATGAAAAAGTAAATACAGCACGATCTCACTATCCGCAGATTCACTAACCTATTCCACTTATCCGCGGTTAACCGAATCACCAGAGCTTTCGTTTTCTTTATTAAATAAAAAATACTTTGCAAAATATATTTCAAATGAGCAAATTTTACACAAAATAGACAGATAGCTTTAATAATCACAGTATTAAGAAAATATTTTCTTAAAAAACAATAAATCAATTTAAATGTCTTCAAAACCATTGAGCTATCGGACCCCAAGGAGAAAAACGTAATTTTTTTTTTTTTTTCAAAAATGTTTCGTTCATTGATTAATGAAATTCTTTTTTCTAATTCATTTCATTTTAAGTTTGTTTGATACGTAATTTAAATATATTTCGTCATGGATGGAGCTGTGTTTCTTCTGTCATAGTAAAATACTGTCGATTATGATATTTTTTAAAAAGCAAACATTCACTTAATAACAATCAATTGCTATGTTAAACAAGGAGATCCTAAAAAAAATTCTCAATCCCA